GAGAGCAAAAAGAGCCTTGAAAAGAGGAGCCTCAAAGGCTCTTGTCACCTGCACAGAGATACGTGGCTCTGCCTTCTTCACATGAGAAGGTCATTTTCAGTGAAAAAACATCAAAAAAAGGAAAGGAAGTGGAAAAAGGGAAAGAAAGTGATCAAGTGTTTTAGTAAATTTTGACATCAGAATACATTAATATCATATACTTTTACTTCTTTTTTGAGAGAAGTACACAGCATATGACCTGGCCCAGCTGTCAGTACAACCTCCACCAGCCTGCAGGAGGTCCCATGCCACCATTCTCAGGAATACCTACAAACCCCACTGCACATCAGTCTATCTGAAGGAAAGCCCAGCTGGGCAGACAACATATAAGAGGCATGGACATAAATTTCTGTGGCGGTATGGGCTTCATTTCCATAATGTAAATGATCAAATAATGAAACAAATCACTTCTTGTTTCTGGACAGGGCTATTTCTGACGTGTTATGTTTGCCAAGAACATAAAACAAGTTGAAAAATCACACCCTATTCTGGGCAGATATGAGAGTGAAGCAGATAACGGGGCTGTACCTGTATGTTTTGATGCTGCCAGCAAGGGAGGTTTTCATAGCAAGTGTTTGACTTACCCTAAGCACTACACAATAGCAAGCTGAAAGATCTGCTGCCACTTACCAAACCTCTTGTAGCCAAAGGACTGCACCTCCTCTTCCTCTGCAAAATCGTCTGGAGAAAGAAAAAAAGACATAGCAATAGATTACTACTACCACTGGAAAAAGATGGGAGGTAGTTTTTAGAGGTGCACATTTATAACTTCATGTACTTGAAAGATTAATCAATTTGAAAGTCATGTTACTGATCTTGCCCTCTGTTGCTCATATCCCACCTCTGTCCCCAGGTAGAAAAGGCAGTTCAGAGCCTTTCCCCTAAACCAGCAGAAATCCAGATTACAAATGATATATCACATTGGCAGCTATCCTGAGGCTTGCTTGGCCACCTAAGTATAGGCCAGAGTGGATATGACCCTCATCATGATGACGGCCACAATTGTCACCAGCATGCTGCTTGGGCAGGCTCGCCTGGACCACGGCACTCACCCCAGCCCTCTGCCTGCGCTGTCCAGGTGGTTGGACACAGGTTATAAATGTACCAGCTGGGCCATTTGCACAAAGTCTACATGTAGCTGTGCTGAGTAATGAGAGGGGAGTCAGAGGAGACAGCTGCCTGCCCACCCACCACCTCCCACAGGCACTAGCTTCGCCTGAAGAGGCAACATCCAATACAAAATGGGAAACAGAACTGACAAACTCAAACAGATGAGAAAAATAAAAACCATTTAAGCCCTTTTACTTGCAACTTCACCAGCTAGCAAACAGTAAAATGCTAATAATCGCAATTTATTTTGTCAGAAGCTTAATTTCTTTCCACTTCCTTCCAGCAGCAAAGGAAAAGGCTGGCATCAGCAGAAGAAATACACCCACGACTTCTTAAAAAAAAAAAAAAAGGATATGTTTGTGTTCGTGTGCTCAGCCTCCTTCTACCAGCACAACACCTCCTTCTGCAGAGTCGGGAAGGCGAGAGCCCTGCCTTACCACCAGCACCAGCCTCTGCACCAGGCGACCGACTGCCAGGGAGAGCAGCACAGCCCAGGCTGCTCATCTCCCACTCCCCTGTTTCCTGAGGGAGAGAGCAGACCCATTCCCCCTCCCACAAGCACCATTTCACATGGGGGGAAGCCTCTGCCGGGCTCTCTTTAAACAGAACCTAGGACACTGCTTCCCAAGCGGTGGTCGGTGGTTCACAGGTCTCTGCTGCGCTGGGGAACCACATCACCTTTGCCACATTTCTGAGCAGAAGCACACAGGCAAACCTGCCTCTGCCCTGTGAAAAACAGCGCCCAGGACTGATGGCAATCCCCAGTCTCTGAAACCTGGGTACTCCTGGGCTTTTGTTTCCATCACAGCGGTGGGGAGGCAGACTCAGCACCCCAGCGAGCTTCAGCAGCTGCTCGCCACCTTGTGCCACCCTTCCAGCACGGGATGCTGAGGCAGCTCACACGCTTGCAACCTCTCCATCCAGGCCTTTCCCTGACACGAAGGGAGAAGGAAAGAGGAGCTGAAAGGCCAGTCAAGGAATTCACCAGAAGGAAACATGTAATGAGCAGCAGTGGAAAAGCAGGCTCAAAGCAGATAAACAGACGTGACAGAGTGAGAGGTCTGTGCTCAGTTAGACCTTTGTTGTCCACAAACTTACTGCACATGAACAGGCTGCTCTGCATCATGAGACTGGGATTACTGGTGCTGCAGCTACCTTGGGCCACAACAGAGCCTTGGGGGGATGAATTCACAGGTGAAGTAAAGATACAGTCCTCCTCCAGGCTCAACAAAGCCTAAATCATATGAGTGTACATCCAGCAACAAACATGACCTGTGCCTCCTTCTGACCTGCAAGGTGCCACCCACTAAAGTCTGAGGGACAGGCTGCCTGAAGCAGCAAAGGAGTCTGTGAAATGCATCATTTTGCAGAATGTCATCCATTACTCAGACAGCACTTTTGATAAAAGAGCTTAAAACTCATATTCTTCACCAGATAACACATACTTTGCTCACTGCCAGAGCTCCTGTCTGTATCTTAAGCTAGACCCCAAATTCAGAGGTGCATTTAAGAAATGGAGGAACCAGTGGACACTCCTTAGGCAAAACAAACACATCCTGGTTTTGAAGGCAGAAAGAATCCTTTAAAAATACAAACCCAACAAACCCTCACAATTGTACCAAATGTTATCTGAAGACAAGGTCACCCAACAAAACGTGACAAATACTAATAAACCATAAACAGTCAGCAACCAAGCTTCTCATCCCAGCAGTGCACTACTCAGGAAAAATCTTCCACTATTGCACAAAAGATAGAGCGTTGCACAAAAAATGATACCTGCTCCAGAGCCCTCAGCTTCCTGCCCTCTCCTGCTATCGGGGCCGTAACACAATCACCCCCTTTGTTTCTCAGAAGCATAACCTAGCTTATCTGATCCATATCTGATGTATGCAGCATGGCCATGTTTAAATCCTGTGGCTTCATCCTAACAACATATCTCCAGGACCTTCCTCCTGGGCTGCCAGTCTCTTCCTCAGTTGTTTGTTTTTTCATGCTTAGCCCAACGGCATTGCCCTCTGGCCAATGTGTTTTAAATTTCCAACATATATATGTTTTATATACATCTACTCTCTATATATTAAAAATACCTTTAAATACACCTTTATGTACTTTTAAAATACATACGTATACTTTTTAATATTTGCAACACTGCACACTGTGCTTGCTAGGGATTAATATATTTTTTTAGCTTTTAATACTGTATAATTATTCATTAATCTCCTAATTTTGAGTGCTTGTGGCTCTTGAAACAGAGAAGTGGAGACAGGCAAGGACAGTTTTGGTGACCCAGCTCCCTTCTCTAAAAAATCTAAAACATCAGATAAAAACTTTTTCAATCCCTGTGAGTTGATCTAGCAAGAGGCAGCAATGTATTTTAGGGGAAGTTTATTAAAATTATTTAACAGGCTAAGTTCAGTGGTCTTTCAGTCACAACTGCCACTTAACCACTTTGCTCAAATCATGTGCAAATATAAAATTTTATGATATTAACTGTAATGTGACAAGTTTAACAAAAATAAAGACTGGAAGAAGAAATGAATAAAACAAAGTTAGACTAAATGTTCAGAAATGAACAGTACTGCATCCTTTGGAAAAAGAGACATCCTAGTCTACTGAAAGTCCTACTTGAAAAGAAGTCTGTGTTTGAAATATTAAAAAATGAATTTGACAAACAAGCCTATAAACTGAAGTCTGAGGCAAAGCCCTGTGTCCCTGCCTGGTCCCCCCATGCCTTTCGGGCAGTATTGTGCTTACTGGAGGTGCCAGAAACTTGGCCCTCAGCTGCTTTTTCCAGTGCTGAAAATATTAAAGTTTTGTCATAAAGTTTTACAAAAATCTCAAAACTTCATGGTATCTTTGAATCAGGGAAATATAAGAGAACCCAAGTTTTCATTGAAAAGAGAATAGCTTTCTAGAGAAAACTATTAAAATGTGGTCTGTGATGAATTACAGAGGTTAAGAAAATACACAGCAAGTAGGAAAGCAAATAGTAAGAAAACCTCCAGCATGTTTATGGGCCTTAGGCTTTTAAAGCAGCATTGGAAATCGGCATGGAAGAATTTCAGGAGTTTTGAGCACTGGTGGCTGATATTACAAAAGGAAATTTTGCATTTTAGCATCAGTGGTGCTGATACGATGCATGTACTTGAGTGGGGCTGCAACAGGTGTAAGGGGCTTTTGTTTGACATTGTGAAAGCTGTAAGTTAGAAATATTTTACTTTAGTTTAAATACAACCCTTCTTGGTTACAAAGAGGACTGGAATGAATGCAATAATTCCATTACATACATATACATTTATATGTATGTATATATAATAAGCAAGGCTTATTTTCCTGGGTGAAAAATGTGACAGGCAGACTCCTCCTTAAAGCATATAATAAAGCAGAATTTGTTATTATGTAATCAGCTCTTTAGTGCTGGAAAGACCAGTCACAACTTTGTTATAAACTGGTCACTGAGCTCTCGGCTGTGAGCTGAAAGAGAGGGAATCCAAAATAACAAAGATGAAGAAACAAGAAAAGCTGGTTAAAATGTGATTTCTTATTCCACTGACTTCTATTGAGCTCTGGCAGAAGGAAGGTCCATAAAAAAAAGGTGAACTTTGGGCTGAAGAGAAATACATGTGAGCAAACAATTGTATTTAACCATCTAGAGGAAGGACCACCGAACGTCTCCTGTTTCATCAGGTTTACAGGAGTCTCCTTAGAGGCTACAACAGATTGTCAAGTGGAGCTTACAGCAAACCACTAAAAATGAGTGGTTTGCTGTAGCTGAGCAGCAATACATCAAATATTCTAGGGAGTCAGTACAAAGCAAGTGCTCTGGTCCAAAAAAAAGGCTTTGAGTTATTTTGGCAACATCCACACCCCACCGAGCACCAATGCCAAATTCCGCTTGCCCTCTAGTTATAAATTATTACTGCAACACCTCTAATAAATACTGTTGTAGAGTTAAATAAGTTACAGTACAATGCTTCAAGGGAGTGGAAATTGTAAAAAGGCTGTTCAGCTGGGGATTAACACAGCGAACAGAGGGAATTCATTTAATCTAAAACAAATTAGACTCTCATTTGATTAATTTGCTAGAGGCAAAGCAAAAATCTGTGGAATAGAACTGTGTAATTTCTAGTTCTTGTTCTTAAATCTTAAATAAATTAATCATGGACCACTTATAAGTCACTCTGAGGTCAAATAAGAAAAAGCTGGCCTGGAGCCAAAAAGGATGCCAAATCTGCCCTGGGACTACATAGGGCCTATAACCACTGCACTGCTTGGTGGAACAGCACCGGATCTGAGGAGCCTTTGGTGCAAGGTGATTTTAAGGAAATTGTTTCCATGTTATTCCCTTCCTTTTGTGGGTGCCATTTTGCTGGCATACAAGAGGTGTTACAAAAAGCTGCTAACGTACATGTCCAGCTGACACCTTTTAGCACGACACTCTGCTCAGCCATTTAAACATAATTAACTAATGAAGCAAAGGAAACCTCAGAACCATTAGAGATGTTGGGTCACACGGTGGCTGCAAACACGTGGTATCCAATCATTTCTAGAACTTTCATGTGCAG